AACTGGATGCAGTACTCTAGGTGTGGTCTTATTAAGATTTTATAGAGTGGTATTAGTACATCACTTCATCTTGATTGTAGCCCTCTGTTAATGCATTTTAGAATTGCATTGGCTTTTTTGGCTGCCGCTGCACACTGCTGGCTCATTTTTAACTGGTTGTCCACTAAGATCCCAAGATCCCTCTCACAGTTACTGCTATTCATCCTGGTTTCACCCAGTCTATATGTGTACTTTTGGTTTTTCTTGCCTAAGTGTAGGACTTTACTTTTCTCTACATTGAATTTCATTTTGTTAGATAGGGCCCAGTGTTCAAGTTTGTCAAGATCCATCTGGATCTTGAGCCTATCTTCTAGGGTGTTAGCTATTCCTGCCAGCTTAGTATCATCTGCAAATTTGGTAAGTTCCCCTTCTATTCCCTCATCTAAGTCGTTTATGAAGATATTGAAGAGTACAAAGCCTAAGACGGAACATTGCGGCACCCGACTGCTTACTTTCCTCCATGTAAACTTAGACCCATTAAGGACTACTCGTTGAGTACGGTTTGTCAGCCAGTTGCGAATCCATCTGGTGTGATGCTATCTATCCCACTTTTTTCTAACTTACCAAGAAGTAGGTTGTGGTCTACTTTGTCAAATGCCTTGCTGAAGTCTAAGTATATTATGTACACAGTATTTTGCTGGTCTACTAATTTAGTAACCGTAGCATGAGAATCTGATATGAAAATCAAGAGAGGAACAAATACAATCTTTTGGGAAATGTGGCTTTGCACCTGATTTATTGTTGCTGTGGCAGCAAGTTCTAGAATCTGGGTAAATTACTTATTCTGATAATTTGCTGTTAAGAGGAGAGGAAAGGAAAAAAAATGTTTTCTGAAGAACTTAACAGTTGCAGAGGAGGAGCGGTATTGTAGAGAAGCAGCTGAAACACCACTTTTGGTAAATCTGTGAAAATATTGCCCACTAACATTATGTATTATTTATGATGCACTACAACACTTTTTCTCCACTTTGGCAAAGATCTGTGGACTTCAACTCCTGGAATTCCTCAGCCTGCCTGAGAGTTGGGAGTTGAAGTCCATACATCTTAAACTTGTCAAGGTTGAGAAAATTGGTCTACAACAGGGATGTCAAATTCGCAGCATCACATCGTCACGTGACATATCATGACTTGTTTCTCCCTCGCTACACCAAGTGTGGGTGTGGCTGACGTGTGGCACATCCTGCCCACAGGCTGCGAGTTTGACACCCTGGTCTACAAAAACAGAGGAAGGAGTCTTCTATTAAGACAAACTGCTTCTCCATTCCATTCCATAAATATGTCTACTATACATATTCTATTATACTACTATATTCTATACTACTATACTACTAAATATTCTACTATACAAGGTCTATTATACAGGAAGTTTTTCTCTTCATTTGCTACCTGGTTCTTTTCATTCAAAATGCTGTGAATGTAAGAAAAGAAACTTATTGTACCATTCTCAATGTAGAAAACGCATGTGGGGGAGTCACTAGGGTTAAATTAGGACATATTTTTGTAGATTTGAAAGAGAATATGTTGCTACCATGAGAAGTGTAGGTGATGGAAGTAAAGCAAGTGTGAGAATTTGTTTCTTTTTCTGTTTATATCTATTTAGCTATTTAGATACTTGAACCAGGACATGATGGTTAGTGGTGAGCCGGTATCGATCTCCATCTTGCACTCGCTCCCTTCAATCTTGACCATGGTGTACACCTTTTTTGCCGGTGCTGTGTTTGCCTGGCCAATGCTGATGATGCAGGTCTCGTAGCTTTTGAATTTCACACCCTTCCTGTAGTCACCATGCTTGTTTGTCCTTCTCTGTGGTGCTGGTTCTGCTTGGCTAGGGGCACCTTGTGACTTGTGGCTGGCTGGTTGAGTAGCTCTGCAGACCCTTGCCAGGTGGCCCTTCTTATCGCAGCGCCTGCAAATGGCGTCTTTGAACTTGCAGGTCTGGCGATGGTGGGACCCTCCGCAGCTCGCACAGGCTTCCCGGTGGTCTCTCTGGTCCCGTTGGTATTTCTCGGTCCAGAAGACATCTTCGTCAGACTCCTCCTCGCTTTTGGTTTGGACCGTCTCGCGGTGTACCGGGATTGACCGTTGCGTTGCCCTTGCTTGAGCTGGTCTCTGTAGTGTCTCTGCAGCCTTTGTGGAGGATTCGTGAGCCCTCGCCTTGTCTAGCATGATGTGGAGTGCTAGGTTTGCTTGGGCGAGCAGTCTTCTCTGTAGGCGAATATCTCTAACGCCACAGATTAGTTGCTCTGGAGCGCATCATCGAGGTCTCGGTACTCACAGTGCGTCGCAGCCTTGTGCAGGGCAGCCATGTATGCGCTGATCGGTTCTCCCTCTCGCAGCTGCTGGCGAAACTCGTACCTCTGTACAAATTTGGAAGGTGCCGGGGCATAGTGTGCCTTCAGCGCAGCCTGTAGAGCTTGCCACGAGACAGTCTGAACCGAGGTCAGTTCAGATAGTGACTCGGCCATGTCGAACACCTTCAGTCCACAATGGCTTAAAAACAGGGCTCTTTTCCAGTTGTCTGAGAGAACCTGTAGGTCGCTGGCTTCCAGGAAGCACTCGAATCGAGCCATGTATGACCCCCATTTCTCTCTGGCAGGGTCGAAAGGCATTGGCGGCACATAAGCAGACATCGTGTTTGTCTCTCTGGGCGCTCCGCTCGTCCGCCTGGCTGGATTCTCGGATTCAGCTCTCTCTGTTGCTTCGTGGCTTCAGCTCTTTCCTTAGCTTCTTGCCTCAAAATCCCATCCTCATTGCCAATGTTAAGTAGGGTGAATGAGGACCCAGAAGCCAAGTCGTGAGTAACAACAGCTCTTTACTTCATAGTGTGAATCCAGTAACTGACTCAGGGAAACAGCTCCCTTTATATACTTTACAGTCCTGGCAGTTAACCAATCAGCTGAGAGCAATTACATTCAAACTTTCCCGCCAAAACTATATACATTACACCAGTGGCTCCTCTCCCCTCCATACAGTTGAGTATCATCGAGCCTGCTGTTGATACCTTAACTCAAACTAATTGGATGAGCTTGCTCAATGTCTTCAAATAAATGTTGAATAATATGGGGGAAACTAGGTGGCTCCCTTCCTTGATGCACCCACAGGCTTAACTGTTTCTTTGCCACCAGCATTAACTCAGTTTGCCATGTCAAGACTTCAGTGCCATATAGTAGTCAAGCTATGGTTACTGATTCGGTGAATGTTCAGAATTACAAAGGTACTGAAGGAGGGGGACTTAGGACTGGTCTGTGAAGTCATAGTTGTCATTGCATGATCAGATGTCACCTGACTGAAGTCCGGACACTCGGATGCTCACCTCATGATTGCAGTATCATGGTGACACATAGCCACCTGCTCGCCATTTGCAACTTTCTATACCATCTTCTCACAAGCAAAGACAATGGGGAAGATAGCAAAGAAGATTCAAGTTGTTTCTGATGCCTCTCCTTCTGAGAATCCCAGTAGAAGATCCCCAGATCTTATACTGTTCCCTGCCCACCTGTGATCCACAGCACCTCCCTTCCATACATTCCCAAGGGAAGATATGAGGAAGGGAACATCTCCCGCAGGACTTCTGAAGATCAGGTGAAGCTGCCAGAGAACTTGTAAAAGGATAAAAAATGGGGAACATGTCCTGAGAATGAGGTCAAAGACATATGCACAAGAGAAAACAAATCCTGGAGGTGATAGGCAGATATGGGAAAATGTTGGGAACCTCTCCTCAGATTCCCTAAATCCATTTGAATCTTGTTCCCTGATCAGATTTCCAGGTTTATTCCACTTCCCTCTTGTAGCATGTTTACTTCTTTCTGGTTTGTGGGGATGAATAATACCAAACTGCCTCCTTTTGAGGATATCTCTAGAGGAGATGATGCAGCAAAGGCCAAACAATTGCCATATCCTACCTTGGTGATTATTTGCTTTAAGTAATGCCCATGAATTTGCAATATTCTGAGTCAATTTGGCCTGTGAGACTCTATAATTATCTGATGATTGCATGTTTCAAGTTATGTGCCGGCTCTTAACTGTCTGGCCTTCACAGAGTGTGTCATTCTCTGAGCAGTTAGGTCCATGATTAAATGTCTGTGGCTTGTTTGGCGATGACCTGTAGTTTTGAGCAAATAAATCCCAGCAAGTGTCTTGCGTGGTGCAGTCACACAAAGATAGTCTCCAAAGACTTGTGACAGGAAATTGAGCAAAACTTGTCACAAGTGAGGAAGTAGAGAAGCATCCCTACTTGGTCACCCTTGGCAACAGGAGCACCTAAACAATCCATAAATCCTGTTTGTTGGTATTATTTAGTACTAGGCAGAGAAATTCTCCAGCATTTTTTAAAAAAATTCCAAGTCTTATTAAAGAGGTGGGTTTCAGACATAAGCAAGATATTTTTTACAGAATAACAAGAGTTGGAATGGACCTTGGAGGTCTTCTAGTCCAACCCCTTGCTTAAACAGGAGACCTATACCATTCCAGACAAGTGGCTGTCCAGTTTCTTCTTAAAATCCTCCAGTGATGAAGCACCCACAACTTCTGAAGGCAACCCTTTCACTGGTTAATTGTTCTCACTGTCAGGTAGTTTCTCCTTAGTTCTAGGTTGCTTTTCTCTTTGATTAGTTTCCACCCATTGCTTTTTGTCCCACCTTCAGGTGCTTTGGACAATAAGTTGACTCCCTCTTCTCTGTGGCAGTCCCTCAAATATTGGAACACTACAATCATGCCTCCCCTAGTCCTTCTTTTCACTAGACTAGACATACCCAATTCCTGCAACAGTTCTTCATATGTTTTAGCTTCTAGGCCCCTAAACATCCCTGTTACTCTTTTCTGCACCTTTTCTAGACTAAAGTCTCAACACCTTTTTTTATATTGCGGTGACCAAAATTGGATGCAATATTCTTAAGTGTTTTTTTATACAAGTTCTCATTCACTGAGGAGAATTTGTCTTTGTTTTTTATTTTTCTCCAAAGGGGAAGAGAATTGCATGGAAATCACATGAATATAGTTAAATATTTATGGAGATTCTCAGTCATCCAGGTCATGGTTGTCCCCCAGCTCTGAAGAAGCTTCTTGGATGAGAAGCGAAATGTCTCAAAGAAAAACCAGTAAGTTGCCTCTTCAAAAAGCACCTTTGGGATACAAGTATAGTGTGGTATCCTTGCAGCAATGGAAGGATGTGTATAAAGGTCTTGTTTTTCATAATACATTTGTCTTTATCATCTGTTTTCTCACACTTATCTAGATGGAATTTTCAGCAGCACTGCTATTATTACAACTAAGAGGAATATCTACATTTAGACCTTTTGGAAAAATCTAACTTTATCCCATATATACAATATTGGGGAAAACTATCCATACAATAACTTACTATCACATTTGGTGGAGAACTTCCAAAGATCCTTTGAACCTTAAGAACTCAGCTCGACTCAGGAACCTTGCATTGCTTTTTTCTGATCAAGCCTAAATGTGAAGCTAAGAATAAACTCTAAAACTTATGATTCTTGTTTGGCTGTATTGTGAAAAAAATACAAATGGAGGATGTCAGGTTCTTTAGCTATTTTCACTAGCAGGAGAAGCCAAGCAGGAAATATTATACAGCCTAACTTGACATGTTATGTTAAGCTTGGTTGCTGAAGGATTTTTTCTCTCTGATAATTTCTTGTCCATGGATCATGCAAGGCATAAAAATGATCCCTGCATGAATTGCCCATCCACTTCATATGGCATGGAGAACATAGAGGAACACAGTGAGGACTAAGGGTAATTTTATAGCAGTCTTCCAGTATTTAAGGGGCTGTCACAGAGAAGAGGGAGTTGACCTATTCTCCAAGACACTAGAGGGCAGGACAACAAGCAATGGATGGAAACTAATCAAGGAGAGAAGCAGCCTAGAACTAAGGAGAAATTTCCTGACGAACAATTAATCAGTGGAACAACTTGCCTCCAGAAGTTGTGGGTGCTCCATCACTGGAGGTTTTCAATAAGATATTGGACAGCCATTTGTCTGGAAATACTATAGGATCTCTGCTTGAACAGCATGTTGGACCAGAAAACTTACAACGTTCCTTCCAATCCTATTCTTCTATGTTCTATGTTGTCAGCCTTGTAGATGCTCATAATATAATGCTCATGAAGCCCCATTTTGGAATATTAGGATGACTGAAAACTCTAAACCCCTTTGTTGCATACTTTTTTCAGAGAAGGTGAATAACACTCTATTTGTATTTCAGACAGTATTACTTCATTATAAGATTTAAAATGAGAAGGGAAAACAGATTATGCCATTGTTGCAAGGTCGATAGATTTGTTGAGGATTGTCTATTCAGCCTTTCTTCTGATAGCAGTTAAACCACCAGTGTAGAAGAAATTAAGGACCTCTTTTTTGCTAACACTAAATTTAACTGCAGCTGCCCAACTGAATCATCCTGGTCTTTCTTGACAAAAGAGAACTGCAGATAGCCTTATCAGTACTGATTACAATCAGCCTTTTTAAGCCTGAATACGTGGAGCACATCTTTCCCCCTTGATTTTGTCTTTCACCCCACCCTCTTAATAACTCCCCCATGAAGAAAAATGAGTTTTAGATGATAAAATTCTGTAGTTTGGCCGTTCTTTAAATGCTATGAAGGTACTGTGCAAACCGAAATAGTAACGGTGGTAGAGTATTAGTCTGGAAGATCATGTTCCTATGTTCCTATGTCCTAGTTAAAGTGGGTGTGTGGGGTTATGGTTAGGGAACTGTGGAGATCTTAGTGTTCTTTGAGCTCAGTTGTTGCTTTTACAGATATTTCATTATCAAACTAGGTAACATCATTAGGACTGGCACTATTAATATTATTTAATTGGGCAATGAAACATCTTCAAGAAAATAACTAAGCTCTGAGAGCACCAAGGATCCCTAAATTCAATCCTGAGCTACACATATTCTCTTCTATTGGTTAAGAAAATGCTCCTCAACATGGGTCATCTCCAAGTTCAGTGGTCATACCTCCTATAATTCTATATTCTGATTAAACAAAACACGGAAGCTAGGAAAGTGATTAATTAATTTATTTACTGCTCATCTCCATCATAAAGCAACTCCCATCATGGTTTACCTCACTAGAGTTTGCTCATGGAAAATAATTGGAGAATGTATGCTACTCTGAAATCTTGGTGGAGAATAAAACTAATCCAGAGCCACAAAAATATTAGAGGACTGGAAGCTAAACCATATGATGAATGGTTGAAAGAACTGGGCATGTCTAGCCTAACAAAGAGAAGAACTAGGAGTGACATGACAGCAGTCTTCCAATATTTGAAGAACTGTCACAGAGAAGAGGAGTTTGACCTATTCTTCAAAGCATCTGAAGGCAAGACAAGATATAATGGATGGAAGATTGTTAAAGAGAGATCAACCTAGAACTAGGGAGAAATTTCCTGACAGTGGGAACAATTAATCAAGGGAACAGCTTGTCTCCAGAAGTTGTAGATGCTCTATCAAGGGAGGTTTCCAAGAAGAGACTGGACAGCTATTTGTCCAGCATAGTGTAGAGTCTCCTGCTTGAGCAAAGGTTGGACTAGAAGACCTCTAAGGTCTAAGGTCTTCTGATCCTATTATTTTATATTCTATGAACAAATACATGGAACATTTTAAAACATGGGCCAACCAACCACATTTGATTTAAATCAAGTCAATTTAAATCATGATTTAAATCACTAGTAAAAAGGCTTGATTTAAATCATAATTTTTAAAGAGCAACTGTCATTTCTGTCCCACAGCAGCTCCTCCTCTGGCCCTCTGTTGACTCACCGACACTCCCAATATTGCAGAATATACAGCCTCATGCTACATAACAGCTCCTTTTCATGCTGAATAAACTAAATTATTAATGTATCTTAAATAGAAAACTATCTTTAGATAGATTTTTATTCCATAAGCATTTTATTAAAATACATTTGATAAAAATCAAAAAATTCCAATTTTTAATATATTTTTTTAAAATCAATTTTTATCCATCCTGCAACCAACATATTTTTCACTAGTTTATGGAGATTCTCAGTCATCCAGGTCACGGTTATCCCAAAGGTGCTTTTTCAAAAGGCAACTGAACTTCTTTGTTTTTCCTTGAAGATGTTTCGCTTCTCATCCAAGAAGTTTCTTCAGTTCTGAAGAAGCTTCTTGGATGAGAAGCAGGGGTGAAATGCTCCCGGTTCGGACCGGATCAGGTGATCCGGTAGCGATTGTGGCAGGTGATTCAGAGAACCGATAGCGATGGTTGCACGAGGCTCCGCCTGGGTGTCGTTACTTCCTGCTTTTAAAAGGTAAAAAAAAGGCTCTGACAATCGCGTGCCACAGTTGTGATCGTCAGAACCTTTTTTACCTTTTAAAAGCATTTTTACAACCTATTCGCCCAAATAGGTTGTAAAAAAATGCTTTAAAAAAAGTAAAAAAAAAAAAAGTTGGCCACGCCCACCCAGTCACATTACCCGCCCACCAAGCCATGCCCACAGAACCGGTAGTAACAGATTTTACATTTCACCACTGATGAGAAGCGAAATGTCTTCACGGAAAAACAAAGAAAGTCCAGTTGCCTCTTGAAAAAGCATCTTTGGAATTTTTATTAGTCTACTGGTTGAATGTTTTGCAGTGGAATTGCCTTTGTTTTCTTGCCAATATTTCCTCCTATTTTTTAACTTGGTGCTACTTACTGTATTTCTTATGATCTAGATAGGAGTGCTGCTCTAGCTGCAGAGGGATCAGCTGTCATATTTTATATTTGATTTTAGCTCTTATGATTAGTAAACCATTTTTGTCTTTCAGGTTGTTGTCATGGGTACAGTGTAGACTTTGCATGCTTACCGGTAGATATGTGGCTGTAAGGAAAAACAATAGTCTCTGACTCCAAGCCAAGCTTGAGTGAATTGTTAATGTGACAAACATCTGACTGAGTAAATTGGGAAAGATTAAGCATTGAAGGTTTTACTGCCTTGCTAAATATATCTTGAGGTAATAGGAATGCCAAATTTATTTGGGGTGGATTTTCACTTGGTCTAGCAGCTTTGAACTGCAAAATTCCAGATGATGTCTAGAGGCAAAGTATTCTGTAGAAGGCTAATTCTTTGCCCCTATTTAGGGAACACCTGAAATTTTGCAGTCTAGAAGTTGAGTGTGATGTTTTAGCAAATTCTGAAAGGTAGGATTGATTAGGGGGCTGGAGGCTAAAACATATAAAGAATGGTTGCAGGAACTGGCTATGTTTAGTCTAATGAAGAGAAGGACTAGGGGAGACATGATAGCAGTCTTCCAATATCTGAGGGGCTGCCACAAAGAAGAGGGGTTTTTCCAAAGCACCAGAAGGCAAGACAAGAAACAATGGATGCAAATTAATCAAGGAGAGAAGCAATCTAGAACTAAGAAGAAATTTCCTGACAATGAGAATAATTAACCAGTGAAACCATTTGCCTTCAGAAGTTGTGGGTGCTCCATCATGGGAGGCTCTTAAAAAGAGACAGCCATTTGCCCTTCTTCAGTAAGGGTTTGGACTAAAAGACCTTCAAGGGATGGGGATGCAATTGCAGTTATAAGTGTAAAAAATGGCAATCTCATTTTTTTCAGTGCTGTTATAACTTTGAATGGTCACTAAACAAACTGTTTTAAGTTGAGAACTACCTGTGCTTTCCAGTCACCTCTGTATCATCTAAATTCTTCCTCCTAACAATGAATATTCAATTTAGCTTTTATGGCCAGACTCACAGAGTGACTTAATTCTAAACTGCCTATTGTCCCTGTCACATTTTGACTTTGTTATTTTTCTTTTTTTGAATTCATAACTTTTGTTTGTCAAATAAAATTAAAATGAAAAATTAAATGAAAAATTTGTACCAACAAAACAGAAATGCCATGTTTACATAGTATGCACTCGTCAAACTAATGTATTATCATGCAGTGTGATGCTCAACTTCACACACTCAGCAAACTACCACATTTTAGCCTGGTGTAGCTTGTTGGAGTAACCCATATGCATTAGCTCATGGCTTTCCTTGTTAGTTTTGCCCCCATCAACATATTATGATCATAGATCTTTCTGCCTGCCTTTGGTACAAAGAATGGTGCTTTGTGTCA